AGTCTCTCTCCAGAAACCACCTTCCCCATCTCAATCAGCGAAGGGTCTCAGGCTTTCCAAAGTAATCCTAAATTCTCAAGAAAAGATTGATCCTTCCCTTCTTCCAGAAAATCGGGAAATATAGGATGGACCACGCAGCAGGGATCACAGTAAGTGCAACCTGAAGGATGCCTGCATATACTGAACAAGAAATAATAGTTTAAGGTTTGGGTTGTTATTATGTGGCACCCATCAAGTTTTCTCTGATGTATGGCAACCCTATGAATGAGCCATCTCCAGAATGCCCTGTCTTCAACTGCTCTGCTCAGCTCTTGCAAAGTCAAGCTTGTGGCTTCCTTTAGGGAATCATTCCCTCTCCTATTTGGTCTTGCTCTTTTCCTGCTGTCATCAATGTCTCCCCTAAAATAAGTCTCTCTCCAGAAACCACCTGCCCCATCTCAACCAGCGAAGGGTCTCAGGCTTTCCAAAGTAATCTTAAATTCTCAAGAAAAAATTGATCCTTCCCTTCTTCCAGAAAATCGGGAGATATAGTATGGACCACGCAGTAGGGATCACAGTAAGTGGAACCGGAAGGAACCTGTATATACTGAACAAGAGATAATCGTTTACGGTTTTGGTTGTTATTCTGTGCCACCCATCAAGTTTTGTCTGATGTGTGGCAACCCTATGAATGAGCCATCTCCAGAATGCCCTGTCTTCAACTGCTCTGCTCAGCTCTTGCAAACTCAAGCTTGTGGCTTCCTTTAGGGAATCATTCCCTCTCCTATTTGGTCTTCCTCTTTTCCTGCTGTCATCAATTTTTTTCCCACCAGCCCGGCTCCCCTCCCCCCAGGACTCTGCCTGACATGCCTAAAATAGGACAGATTCAGTTGCGTCTTGGGAGGGACACCTTTCCCCATCACAAAATCAAAAGGTTTTAGCAAGTTCTATAGATCGCAGACATTTGTCCCGGATGCTTCTCAAAACCAGAGACAGACTAGAATTGCTGAGTATTTTTTTGCTTACTGTCAACAGAGGATCCTCTCTGTATTATAATATGCGAGGAGTCCTACCCACCCAGCCCACATCCACCAGAGATGACCTGGATGCATTTGGCATTCATTGACTGACAGCTGTGACGTCACTGCCTTTTAACAAAACGTGCAAGGCTCGTGGTAAACACAGATACCAATTTCTGCTCAGCCATGAAGTTTGACAGGTGACCTAAATGCGCCATTGTAGCCTAGCTTAGCTCAACAGATTTCCTTCTAAAAATATCAAAATAGAGAGAGACCGCGCACTGTGTGTGTAGAAGTATCCCAGGGGTTTTCAACCTTTGGTCCTCCAAATGTTTTGGACTTCAGCTCCCAGAAGCCCCAATTATCATTTCTAATGCTGAGGATGATTTTGAATTGTGGTGCTGGAGGAGGCTCTTGAGAGTCCCCTGAACTGCAAGGAGAACAAACCTATCAATTCTAAAGGAAATCAACCCTGAGTGCTCACTGGAAGGACAGATCCTGAAATTGAGGCTCTAAGACTTTGGCCATCTTGTGAGAAGAGAAGACTCCCTGGAAAAGACCCTGATGGTGGGAAAGTGTGAGGGCAAGAGAAGAAGGGGACGAAAGAGGACGAGATGGCTGGACAGTGTCTGCGAAGCAACCAACATGACTTTGACAAAATTCCAGGAGGCCGTGGAAGACAGGAGGGCCTGGCGTGCTCTGGTCTATGGGGTCATGAAGACTCGAACATAACTAAATGACTAAACAACAACAATGTTGAGGAATTCTGGGAGCTGAAATCTGAGAAGCTGGTAGAAAGAAGGATCTTATCCATTGGTTTAGATCTAGATTGAGGAAGTCCATGGTCCCCATGTTTATGAGCTCCAGTCCAGTAGTAAGTCACCACTGGAGTAGGCCCATTGAATCAGTGGGGATTTGGTGAGTCAGCAACTCTGTAAGTTCTCCTGATTCAATCGGTGAAAATCCAGTTGCAACTTACTACCGGATTTCACCTCCTAATAAGTTAGAAATCTCCTTGGATGGCCCTGACCCAGCCTGATCTAACTTATAAGATCATCGTAGAAGGAAAAGAACAATATATGCTGTTCTAGGAGAGGCTATAATATTTAGAATTCCAAATAAATTAGATGGGCTGCCCTGGCTCATGAGTTCCAAGGATGCAAACATGAAATAATGGAAGAAATACTATAGAGCAAAGAATAAACTGAACAACTCTGAGCGCATCACAATATCACACTGCAATGCAACATTAATAGTGAGGCCAATATCCTGCAGGTGACAGTGTAGCACAGTGAACGACGTGTGACACAAACTGTTGCTGCTGTCGTTGTTATAGCATCAGCTTGTGTGGCCCATAACCCGTGTCATCAGATGTGAGGTGTGTTGCCCATCTGGCAGGTTGTTTACCCACATATTTGGGTAGGTGGTGAATTTTAATCAGTATGTTCAGAAGGAACTGAAAGGCAAGGGAAAAAATGCAGTTAATCTCCATGACCATTATCTTAAGGGTTGCTATTCGCTGGATGGCGCAACACAAACCTCTTTGTCTTGATGACTTGATTAAGGGAAGGGGTTGAGCTAAAAAAGCCTCTGTCCTTAATTGAAACCACAGAATGAGCTGATTGTATGATAAAGTGGCGAGGGCAGGCGGCTGGTATGCCATCCTGACCTCCTTGAAGTCAGTCGATCTCATATTGGGTCTTCCTCTTTTCCTCCTACTTTCTGCCTTTCCCAACATTTCCAGAGAATCCTGCCTTCTCCTGAGGTACCTTAAAGTAGGACTGTCTCAGTTTCAACATTTGTTGCCTCCAGAGATTGTTCAGGCTTGATTTCATGCAGGACCCTCCACTTGTTTGTCTTTCTGACAGTCCCAGGTAAACAGCCACCATTCTGATGGTGGTTTATTTTGGAGGTCATGGCAGCTGGAGTGGCTCATAGAGAAAGGTTCAAAGGTTTTAAACTATAAAACTGATGATTTAAAATGAGATATTCGTGTGGACAAATCATGCACACGTTTTAATGCCCAAAGTCCATACAGTATTGCAAAAAATTTAGGGCCAGTACTGTATTTAGAAGGAATTGGCTACCCAATCAGAAAAATGATTCACTTCTTAGAGTATGATTAGATAATAAACAAAATAGGGGTAGGGGAAAGGTTTCTATAAGCAGCTCCTCGTTAGTATAGTGGTAAGTATCCCCGCCTGTCACGCGGGAGACCGGGGTTCGATTCCCCGACGGGGAGAGGCATAGGTTTTTAAAATAATTCGTAACAGAGAAAGAAAAAACTCTTCACCTTTTCATAAGATTTTGAATAAAAGGATTTCCCTAGAGTAATCCTTCAAGCATATTACAAAAATATGACGCTGTTGAAGCATTGCAAGCAAAAGCAGAAGATTTTGATTAACCTTGAAGTCTGAAGCCTTGATCATCGCATTACTTTTCATGGGTTATTTGGAGTTCTGCCAACATGGAATTCCACGGAGTTGGACTTAAAACAGAGAGAAAGCATTATTGCCTGCCATGGAATACAGGATGCTGCTCTGGACCAGCAGGATTTCTACTGTTTTGGTTCACATCCATTGGACGAAAATTACACAGATCTTGTTCTTTTCAACTTCCATTAAAATTCATTTCAGCTTAAAATGCCATGGCTAGTGTATATTTCCACAAACCATGTTCCCTTCTGCCGTGCAGATTTTTTAAAAAATTGAGCATCATTCTTTCCTAATTTGGTGTAGCGTTGCTTACCATTTCTTCCCTCGGATGCCACCGTATTTTTTTAAAAGGGGGGGATTTGGCAGCGGTGGGATTCGAACCCACGCCTCCGAAGAGACTGGAGCCTTAATCCAGCGCCTTAGACCGCTCGGCCACGCTACCTTGACGAAAAGGTATGCTCGTTTCCTATTTTTTCATTTCCAAAATTGCTCCTTCCTTTTTTTCTTTAATTAATCTCAGGCAGAAAAAAAATCACTTTATCCCCTTTGCCCAGCATTTTCCTCGCTATTTCCTCTACCATTCCTGGAGGAAACCATTTTTACCGATGGGGGGGAAGAGATTTTAACTACTGTATTTTGATTGGAGGAATGAAAGGCGGGAGTTGGCTTTTGGCCAATGGAGTCACAGCGCGGGTTATTTTTTAAAAAATCTTATTAATTTCCTGTTAGAGTTCCCCCCCCCGAAATGAAATTAATTAGGCGTCCCCAACCTGGCAAATCAGCAATACAGTATGTAGTTTGATCGACCCCATATCTTCATTCTCCTACCTATGTAATGCTTAAATAGAATTTGAAAGAAAACATTTAGTTAGCGGGGCGTCTTAATTGGCTCTTCATTAGTACTGGTACATTCATCGTCCGAAAGAAGTATCGGTGTTTTAAATTATTTATTCATTTAAAAGGTTTTCAGCCCGTCTTTTCTCTTTGAAAAGAACCCAAGGCGTTAAACACACATAACGAAGTCCCGAATTAGAAGAGAAACAGAAGGTTAGCTTGAGACGCCGGTTCTGTAAATCGCGACCAATCCCTGCTCTGCGCGGCAAATTTGAATCCAAGTCATTGGTTGGTTTGTTAGCCAATCCAAAGAGGGGAAATAAGGTATAAATACGCCGCTCAGTGACCACCTTGGCTTCGTTTATCCTTCGCTTTGAGAGTTGAAGCTCGTTCTTTTGGCCCCAGGGAAATCCAATGGCTCGCACCAAGCAGACGGCTCGCAAGTCCACCGGCGGGGAGGCGCCCCCCAAGCGGCCACCAAGGCTGCCCGCAAGAGCGCTCCGGCCACCGGCGGCGTCAAGAAGCCTCACCGCTACCGCCCTGGGACTGTGGCTCTGCGGGAGATCCGGCGCTACCAGAAGTCCACCGAACTCCTTATCCGAAAGCTGCCTTTCCAGCGCCTCGTGAGGGAGATCGCCCAGGACTTCAAGACCGACCTGCGCTTCCAGAGCTCGGCTGTCATGGCCTTGCAGGAGGCCAGCGAAGCCTACCTGGTGGGGCTCTTCGAGGACACCAACCTGTGCGCCATCCATGCCAAAAGGGTCACCATCATGCCCAAGGACATCCAGCTGGCCAGGCGCATCCGCGGCGAGAGGGCTTAAGTCGGGCGCGTTCTTCAAAAACTCAAAAGGCTCTTTTAAGAGCCACCACATGTTCGCAAAAAAGTGCTAGAAATCTCATTTTTTGCTGAATGTCTGAAGCCTCGTATGCCTTTACGAGACTATTATAATTAAACTGGTCTAGTAAGCTTCTGGCTGGAGAGCCAAGGCTTAGAGTTCAGTTCCCCACAATTCCTTTTCTGAGCAAGCTTGGACAACCTGCACAGTTCTAGGATGCCCCTAGGAAAAAATGAAAATACTAAAAAATGGTAGAGGGTCAAGTCAATTGCCTTGACGCATGACTGATGTTTGTAAATGTTTTGGTGGTCATACGACATTTTCATTTTTTACTGAAATGGAGGACTTACTTTTCTATATGGGTTGATTTGGGTGAAATATCAACATTGCCACCCGCGTTTGACTGCAGACTCCCTCAAATACACGGAGCAGGGAGTCTCATCGGCTTTTACAAAGTGTCAAACATACAAAAAACAGGGCACTTTATACTTTTTCTTAAGGCATTCTCCCCCCCCAAAAACTTCCGAATTAGCCACACTAGGACTGGATGAGTGGGAATAGTTAAAAAAAAGTTAGAAACTGCAGTAATTTGAGTGAAAACTTTCGTTCCCACCCCCGCAAAAAAACCAGGGAAAAAACGAAATATTTCACTTTAATTGAATTTATACCTCGCCCCTCAAGACAAAAGTCTACTGGAGCGGCTTACATAAATACCGATGAAGTGATTCGTCTCTTTTTAAGTGAGGAAAGTGAGTGGCTCTGAAAAGAGCCTTTGGGTTAAAGGGGGAGAAGGGGTCTTCCCTTTGTCCAGCCGGGGCAGGGCGTCTACTTGGAGCTGGTGTACTTGGTGACGGCCTTGGTGCCCTCGGAGACGGCGTGCTTGGCCAGCTCTCCGGGCAGGAGGAGCCTGACGGCGGTCTGGATCTCCCGGGAGGTGATGGTGGAGCGCTTGTTGTAATGGGCGAGGCGGGAGGCCTCGGCGGCGATGCGCTCGAAGATGTCGTTGACGAAGGAGTTCATGATGCTCATGGCCTTGGAGGAGATGCCGGTGTCCGGGTGGACCTGCTTGAGGACCTTGTAGACGTAGATGGAGTAGCTCTCCTTGCGGCTCTTCTTGCGCTTCTTGTCGCCCTTCTTCTGCGTCTTGGTGATGGCCTTCTTGGAGCCCTTCTTGGGCACCGGCGCGGACTTCGCAGGCTCAGGCATCTTCAAACGCAAGCAACGAACTCAACACAAGCAGGAACACCCACAAATGCGGTGCTCTGCCTTGCTGCGTTCTTTATATAGGGCCCTTATGTAAATGAGGTGCTGGAATATCCTCCACTCTATTGGCCGGCCTTCGAAGCGACGCGAACCAGGAGGATACCAACGTTCCATCAGCGCATCCTTTCATAGCTTCCCTTCTTATTGGCCGACGCCTTGACTTCGCCCTCTTCTACTGGCTCTTTTTTTGGATCCCTCCTTCTATTGGCTCGTCTAGCAGGGACGCGGTGATTGGAGAGGGAGTCCCAAAGGCGAGCCAATCAGAATGGCCAGTTACAAAACCTAGGGAGCGTATATAAGGGTTGGGAAGCCGCCCCTTTTCACGCAGTCGTCGGCTCGTTTTGGGGGAGCAGTTCTGTAGCGTGTTGGTCGATCGGTCGTGTTGAAATGTCTGGACGCGGAAAGCAAGGGGGCAAAGCCAGGGCGAAGGCCAAGACCCGCTCCTCCCGGGCTGGCCTGCAGTTCCCGGTGGGTCGCGTCCACCGCCTGCTGCGGAAGGGCAACTACGCCGAGCGGGTGGGCGCCGGGGCCCCCGTCTACCTGGCCGCCGTCCTCGAGTACCTGACGGCCGAGATCCTCGAGCTGGCCGGCAACGCCGCCCGGGACAACAAGAAGACCCGCATCATCCCCCGGCACCTCCAGCTCGCCTGGAAGGCAGAGTTTGTTTTAATCTCGCCCTCGCTTTCCCCTCTCAAGTGGCATTTTATGATCCCGTTCTGCTTGCGCTGAAAAAGAGCTTAGCAATGCAGGCGACATCCCTTCACGAGTTAAGTCCCACTGCTTTCTTGTAGATTTTAACTCTCTAGTAAATAACTACAAAGTCCTAAACGGCTTGATTTATTCTGATAATGAATCTAACCGGAGAACGGGTTTTACTCACCCCTGTCTCCGAATAACCCAGGGAAACCCCGAAACACTATTTTGCTGTACTGGGTAGCAGAAAATCTTTGCAGGAGTACTTCTATTTACTACCGTGTTTCCCGGAAAATAAGACAGGGTCTTATATTAATTTTAAAGGGCCACAAATTCCTTTATTTTTGTGAGATGTAATACGTTTCCCTTTTAAAAAAAAAAGGGGGAGGGAGAAAAAAAATTACTGGAGATGCCGGGGATCGAACCCGGGGCCTCATACATGCAAAGCATGCGCTCTACCACTGAGCTACATCCCCATTCCGTTATACCACCTTTCGTTCCTGGTTGATAAGGTATTCTTCCTATTGAAGAAAACCGTTAGAAGGATCAAATTGGAAATTTTAAGTATGATTTTACCACGAAAGGCACCAGAGCAAACTAAAAAGATTTTTCCGTGATACCGTAGCTTCAAATCTCGTTAACAGTTACAACCCCAACCACGCTTATTTTACAGCCATTAGCCCCACCACGAAGTATCATCGCAACTCTTTCCATTGACAAAGTGGGTGGCCCTTAAAAGGGCCTTTTTTGGAATTTTTCCCGAAGTTAGGTTTTAGCCGCCGAAGCCGTAAAGGGTCCGTCCCTGGCGTTTCAAGGCATAGACGACGTCCATGGCGGTGACGGTCTTCCTTTTCGCGTGCTCGGTGTAAGTGACGGCATCGCGGATCACGTTCTCCAGGAAGACCTTCAGGACCCCCCGGGTTTCCTCGTAGATGAGCCCCGAAATGCGCTTGACGCCCCCTCGGCGGGCCAAGCGGCGGATGGCCGGCTTGGTGATTCCTTGGATATTGTCGCGCAACACCTTCCGGTGCCTCTTGGCGCCTCCTTTCCCCAAACCCTTCCCTCCCTTTCCACGTCCAGACATCTTCGCACTACAACCAACTCCCCAAAATATCCGGCGAACCTCTCACGGCCTAAGCTTTAATAGCCCGGTGCCCGACCAGAGTGAAAACTACACCGGTAACCTTTCCCGGCCGGTCAACTACCAGTCACCCCCCCACTCTCGTCCTCTCAAAGAGAAGCAAAGAATTGTCCAATCAGAACCACCCGGCTCTTGATTCTGTCCAATCAGCTCTCCCGAAGTGATTCCTTCCCCTTTTCTACAAAAAAGAATACCCGCGGAAAATCCATCGCTCACGAGACTCCTTAGCCGCGGTTCATTTAATGGCATCCGACCTTAACCTCGCGAGTAAACTGAGAGGTGGCGAGATGCCGTCACGCGTCCCATGTCCCATCGATTCGATTTAGGGAATTTGCATATTCTCTTAACTCTTGAATAAGGGCCGATGCTATCGTCAAAAATGAAATCCTGGAGAACTCGAACCCAAGACTGGTGCTGAGGTAAGGTGTCATAATATTCTGCTGCTATCTTCTTTACCTGCAAAGATTTAAAAAAAGATTCAATCCAGCATTCCATATCTGCAAAAAATTCTCTCATCAAGCCTAAGACCAGCATAAAAAAATTTTCATACATTATTCCCACAGGTAAACCCCACAAATCAAACAAAATGGCTCAGAAAATTTCATCGAAAATAAGACATGGCTGCCTCTGTAGAAGAGAAATCTTTAATCCTATGTATGTGAATTATGGAAGATATGAACAAATTGGCCATGAACAAAACACAATACTTATGCTGCTCTTGAGCCTACAGCTTAGCTTCTTGAACTGGGAAGGGGGCTGTATGCGATCTTCCACCCTTTCCAGCTTCTCTATCCTTTTATATAGGCATTTTTAGCCTTGAGAAAAGAAGACTGGGGGGGGGGAGAGAGAGATCATATGATAGCACCTTTCAAAGGCTTGAAAGGCTGTCCTACCAAGGAGCGGCAGGATCTGTTTTCGGTCATCCCAGAGTGCAGGACACACAACCATGGGCTCAAGCGACAGGAAGCCAGATTTTGGTTGAACATTAGGAAAACCTTCCTAATGGTTAGAGCAGTACGACAGTGGAACCCGTGACCTCTGGAGGTGGTGAGCGCTCCAACACTGGAGAGGCCTTCAAGAGAAAATGGTAGAACCACCTTTCCGATCTACTTTGACTTGGGTCCTTGCCTTGGGCAGGGGGTTGGACTAGATAGCCTTAGAGCAGTGGTGTCGAACTGTGGCCCTCCAGATGTTCTTGGACTTCAACTCCCAGAAGCCTTCACCACCACCTCTGCTGGCCAGGATTTCTGGGAGTTGAAGGCCAAGAACATCTGGAGGGCCACAGTTCGACACCACTGCCTTAGAGGGTCCCGCCAACTCAGTGATCTTATGATTGTACTGTATAGAGAATCACTGAAATTGATCCTGGGACCGCTGCATGCCAAAATATTGGCTCTTTTTCTCAGAATAAGAATGCTACAGCTTCTTCCCAATGTTTGGGTTTCCAGGAAAGACGACCCACGCCAAGCTTTTCAGCGCCAGAGACAAAATAATCTGCTCCCAACCCCTTTTTCTGACTTCTGTGTGATTAACAGCTCTTTCTTCGTATTCCTTTCCAGATCCTACTGGAAATCACTGGAGTTTCACCAGTCCACAAAAAGGAAAAGGTAGGAAGGGAAGTTTGAATGTTTCTTACGTATCGTCAATAGACTTTAAAAACCTATGATCACTTCTCAGTGTGAATTCAGTGGAATCTGTTCTGTCTAGATTTCTTCCATCTTCCATTCCCTAAACAGCGAATCTGTTTTTCTCCTTTTCAGAGGCAAGAATTCCACTGGAATCTCTCTATGTAAGTAAAACAAAAAACTAAAAAAATTATTATAATAAACCTTCGTGAAGTAAGCCACTTTGGGTCATTTTTAAGGAGAAGGGTAAACATGTTTTAAATCAATAATAAAATAAAATGATTATGGTTTCACAATAGGATTATCAAGGTTGTTTTTTTCCCTACTAAGTGATTGCAGTTAAACACAGTTGAAACATTTACTCCTGAAATTCTAATGGTGCAAGGAAGCAGGGGGTGTAAACATCTTTAAACCCCCTTAAAGAATATTTATACTATCCTTCCTGCTATTCCTCTCCTACCAGAGGTTGCGCATCATCACAACTGTGCCGTCTTTAGATACAGCTGCTCAGAACAATGTCATCCTGCAGTTCATTTTGTATTTTTTTACAGATTTTTAACAGTATTTTACAGTCTGCAGCTGTAACAATATGTACTTTTCATTTCTCGTAATTTAACCGAAATGCTCTAGTTTTCTGCATTTTATATGTTCCTTGATTCCTTGATCTTTATTCATTCATTTCCATACTTCTTCACTGACCACTCTCTTGCTTCCAGAAATCCTTAGCGTCTGGCTGTACATCCCTATTTCAAATGCTTCTAGCTGATTTACAGTCGCCTGTGTCAAATTCACAATTCCAGGCCATTTAGTAGAATATGATGATCCTTTTCAAAGACAAATGTTAGTTTCCATTGCATATTAACTTTTCATCTTAAGGACCCCATTGCGCCCCATCTCTGTTCAGGCTTTTATTGTGGCAATAACCAAATTACAATGTACATACTGTATTTTAATCAATCTGCCCCCTAATTTTCATTTTGATCTTTAACAGCAGTTTTTGGGCTGCTTGCTTTTCACTAGTTACCAAGAACTTGGGTTTTCTTAACATTCTGATTTAGGCAGTGTGTTCATTACTTACTTCCTTGATTTTACTGAGTAACCTCCGTCCCAGTGAAACTCAGAGGCTGCCCTCATCATCATCATAACTACAGTCCACCTTCTATAGGGGGGCTCCACCTGCTGGCCAACTAAAGACATGCAGATAAAAGAAACTGGCATTAGGGTTAAAGATCTAACAACCTGAGAAGGAAATAATACACCAATGATATTAACCAAATAAATTATTTTATGGTTGGATCTTGTAGAATAGAAGAAGCCTAAGCCGCTTCGCCCAGAGAACTGGGGGATCCTACCGAAAAGGAACGAGAAGAAGCCTGGGCCGCTTCGTCCAATGGATGAGAACTGGGGGATCCTACCGAAAAGGAACACCCCAACGTCAAAACATGGGGATCCGTTCAAGGAAGTGAAAGATGAAGATGAGAATTCCAGAGCTGAGTTCGAATGCCCGGTATGCTTCAGATTCAATGTTGTGCCCTGGCTCAGTGGAATTTTTTTACTTCACTTCCTGAAGGCTTTAATCTTTCCTTCCTTCTTCCCCAGGTTGTTGATCCAACGTACACGCTGCGTGGCTTCTCCTGCTCCATCTTTGCCCAAGAAGAAAACAGATTTACAGAGGAAGAGAAGCACATTTATAGTGAACCTTTCTTGTGGTTGTCTTCCCCTTTCCCTTTCTATCCACCCTCAGTAAGAGGGAAGATCCCCCTCTGATTTTCATCCTAGGCAACCCTCTCCCTGAGATATGATTCCAAACCTTCCAGCAGAGGCAGCCGGCTGCTTCATCGCTGCGACCCAAAATAAAGCAGCAAGTTTTAAGTGCTTCCCCCCTCCCAAAGAGTTGAATCCTGTTCAGCCAAGGACTCAATTCCATTTTGCAAACCTTCTAAAGGGCTCTATTGGAGTAGTGGGTAGGACCAAAGACAAAGGAAGGAGACTTAGGGCTCTCAACCCCTGTCACTAACCCTTATGGGAGGTCTTTCAATATTTTAGAAGTGAGTGAAAAAACTGTACAAAATATGAGACACCTTTAGAAGATCTCAGGAGGATCCAGAGTGCCTGAATCAGCCCCAGGGCCTGACTTTTCCAACAGAGAGGAAGACCCTTGTGTCTTCACCACTGAGGTTTCCTGCACAAATTTCAAAGAAGTGACAGGGAACCCATGCAGCCTCCATTGAAATGAATGGGAGTGGGAGGCACACACACCCAGTTCCACCAATGTACAAAATTCCATTCAAGATGAAATCTCAAGTGTTCCTAGATGCGAATGAACAGAACGGTCTCCTTTTCCCCCCTTCCTTTCCGTTCCTCTTAATTCTACCAAAAGCTGTGCTATTTCAGCCATCGCTACTTTTGTTGGCAAGGTGATATCTCTGCTTTTTAAGAAACCTAGACAGCATCTAGATCTCTATACATATTTTCTTTTCAATGTTCATCATGTGGAACTGCTTACCAGGTTTTGATGTTCCTCTAGGCAGATCCTAGAGTCCCATCCTAACCAGAGTCTTGGCTAAAAGTCTGGGAGTTCCTGTCCAAAACGTTGCAGGGTTTTTCTGCCTGTTGATTCATTTATCTACAGTATTTATTTGCTATTGTGCTTTCGATTTGCTCCCTGTGGGGAACGCCGGGCTTCCGTCTTGACCCTAGAAAGCCCTTCGGGGGCCCTTTATCTGCAAGGAAACACATTTAGAAGCCAGCTGTTTCATTGGCACTCTTCATTAGCACGAGCCTTGGCTAATGATGGGATTATGTTTTCTTACTTGCCTTTTTTCTTAAAATTCTACTGGGACATTTTTGTAACGCTTCACCTGAAACCCACCTGAAATCTGATGCATTTTTAAACCACAAGACTTTGAGGGGCAATAGAAATGTATAGTAATCTGTAAATTATTATTGTATAATTGTATACCCAATCAATCCGTAAAGCCAGTGTGTTCTTGCACCTGGCACACAAGCTCCTTGAGACTTCACAATAAAAAGAACTAAAAACCGTTCCAGCGGACAACCTCTGAGAGAGAGTTTCCTGGCCCTTCCTCCCGTGGTTTGCCTTGGAATTTGCCCCCTGTTTTTCCCCCCTCCGCTCCAAATCCTTGCGCATGAGCTGTACGGTCCAGAGTCCAGGTAGACAAAACCAGCCCGCCAGCTGCCTTCTTCACAAAGGACCCAAAACAAGCAGGGAAGGCGAAGAGAGACCATTTCAGGGGAGCATCTCGGCCGTTCCACCCTTGGTATCATGGAATACATCAACACCTTGGTCCCGTCAACATTGCTCAAGTGAGTATTTGGGGGTCACGACGGTGGTCAAGACGGGGAGCAACCTTTGCTAATGCCTCCTAGGTACCTCTGGGGGAATTGGGTGGTGGCACCTACCCTCCCTTGGCCACCTCACGCGTAGACCTTTTTGTGCTGTCAGGATCCCTGCCTCTAGGAGGAAAGCCAGGGTTGGGGGGGTGGAAATCCACAGAGTTATTGCCAGTATGGGAGGAAAAGTCAGAAATCAGGAAGGGGAATAAGTCGCATGTTGTGGAGAAGTCCTTAGGGTTGCAAAAATCTCATCGGGGAGGAGAGGAAAACATTCAGGGAAAAGCAAGATAAAGGGGTCAGGCGCTTTCCCTTCTCAAAAAGTAAAACAGTTTTTTAAAAAGTCAACAAATCACAGGAAGTGGATCGAACGATTCATGGAAAAGGGGACGGGAGCAGGTTGTATCAGAGAGGAATCGAAGTGTGTTCTATAAAAAGAAGTGGGTGGGAAAAAAGCGTGGGGATGTTACCTTTTGGACTTCTGGGGGTTCTGGGCATTGTAGTCCGACATTTCCAAAGTCTAGCAATTGACACATTGCGGGGGGGGGAGGAATACTGTGCCCATATCTTATCACAGGTTCCCTGTGTCCCGTACGTTTGTGCAAAGTGTGTTTGGATCAGTAAAATAGGATAATAACGGCACTGTCAACACATACGTTTGTGCAAAGTGTGTTTGGATCAATAAAATAGGATAATAATGGCACTGTCAACAGAGAGTCGGGCGGGGTTACTGAACGGTCAGCACAGAGAGAAAACTCCACGGTTTGGAATCCACAACCCTTTAAAATCTACAGAATGATTAAAGAAATCAATGCACACCCTTTTGGACCGGCATCTTTGCAAGCCCCAAGTACGTCAGCAGCTGTTCCACCATTTCCTTCTGCACTGGAGAAGCTGGAACTTGAACTTTGACATCTGCTGCCAGCCGGGCAACACGGGAGGTTGTGATAAACGCATCCACACACACCGTAATTACCGTATTTTTCGCACTATAAGACACACTTTTTTCCACAAAACGGGGTGGAAAGTCTGTGCGTCTTATGGAGCGAAGAAAACAGATTATTTTTTCCTGTTTTCTTCTCCTAAAAATTTGGTGCGTCTTATGGAGCGAAAAATACCGTATATCTAGTGCCTTTTTTACTCGAGGGGGGGAAGAGAATATATATATGGTGCCTTTTTTACTCGAGGGGGGGAAGAGATGTTTCTTTGCAACATTGAGAGACCGCATGGGCTAAAAAGCAGACCCTAAAGGCAGCAGATGCATAGCAAGGCTCCTTTTGAGGAGAAAGACCAGAGAGAAATGTTTTAAATAAATGTAATACGGTGTGCTATAATTCGTGGCCCAAAACTAATGTTCCTTGACTGGGTTTCAGGACACCTTGCATATGCTCGTCGGCAAGGCCGATCTTCGAACAAGAACCCCACATCCAGCTCCCATCGTTCCCAGCCAGCATGGCATGATGGGAATTGTAGGTCATGCTGGGTAAGGGATGATAGGCGTTGTCATCCAAAAAGCAGGTTACTTTCCCCAGTTGTAGCTATGGGGTTTCCAAGTCACCCCGTTTGGACTCTGCTCATCCGTGTCTCTGCCCTCCCACCCAGGTCGGTGTCGAATGCGGGTTCTGAGCTCACGCGACGGGTCTGGTCCCCGAGCGCCCCCGCCCAGCGGCCCTTCCGGGTCTGTGACCACAAGCGCAGCGTCCGCAAGGGGCTGACGGCCGGCACCTTGCAGGAGCTGCTCAGCAAGGTGAGCGCCTCTTGTCTTCCAGGCCAGCTCCCGTGTCCCCCTTTTCCAGGAGCCAGACACCCCTGAGCCGAAGGCAGTCACAGTCAAGAAGACTCATCTACATTCTCAGATTCATGGAATGGTTTGATTATTTCTACTGTGTGTTTTAGAGTTGAGTTGTTTTTTATAATTTTAGATTGTTCATTGTTTTATGTTATACACCACCCAAAGTGGGAGATAGATAGATAGTAATGCAAAAGATAGATAGATAGATAGATACAGACAGACAGACAGACAGACAGACAGACAGACAGACAGATGTTCACTCAGCCATGGCTCTTTCATAAGCCACTCTGTCTGGACTTCAGTCTCACATTCTAAAAGTTCGTTGATTACATGCAATCATTAGGCTCATGTCTGCTTTATGTCCTGTTCAGTTTTCTATCTGCTTCAGTGTCATCCATCTTTGTCCAACTTCCTTCGTTCCTTCCTTCAGCCTCTCTTTTCCTTCCTTCCTTCCTTCCTTCCTTCCTTCCATCCATCCATCCATCCATCCATCCATCATCTCCCTCCCTCCCTTCCTTCCTTCCAGAACCTTGCACAATTTAAAATTACAGATGCATATGAACTACCGTTAAAATTAAAAACAAATCAAAATGTCAAGATCACTAGACCATTTTTGACCAGACGTGGGCTGCTTCCATAGCATGATCTCGGCCGATATCTCTCTTTCCTCCGTCCTCCGACTGCCCCATAAGTGTGGGAAGGGAAGGTTGCTCTTCCCCCTCTTCCTGCCTTAAATCGCATGATTCCGGGGCCTTTTTAAAAATTCATATTCTGAGTGAACATGAAACTTCACAAGGCCCTGCTTTCTTCCTTTCGGCAGGCCAGGGACACCTTGCTGGTCACGGGCCTCGTGTCCTTGGTGCTGGACGAAGACGGCACCCTGGTGGCCACGGAAGATTATTTTGAGGTCCTGGACGACAACACGACCCTGATGGTTCTGGGAAAGGGCCAGAAGTGGACCCCTCCCAAGGTGAGGAGGAGCAGAACGCCGGAGGTGGTGGTGGGGGGCAGCACCAGGTTTGCCTTGCGATCGTAGCTCAGGAAACCCTTACACCACCAGCATCCGGATGAAACCTTCGGAAACGGGTGGGTGGGGGGACAGAGAAGGATAATTCTACAGCCCGCCAGAAGCGCTGGTCAATGGCAAACGACAATAAAAGCCGCCAATCACAAGAGTAGGGCCTGCAATTCAGAGCCTGGCAGGTGGGATCTCCGAAGGATCTCCCATGCCACGAAAAGCATGTAAGGACATTTTTCGGGAACCCAGAAAAACGCTAAATGATGATTAGGTCTCCGTAGAAGCAATAGTGCTAGCTGGGAGTGGTAGGGAATGATTATAGCATGGAATGGGAGACCCGGAAGGGACCTCAAAGGTCATCAAGTCCAACCCCCCGCCTGCCCATGTGGGAATTCACCGCTCAAGTATCTCTGAGAGACGGCCGTTCAGCCTGCCGTGAAGGAGAGTCCGCCATCTCTCGGGACAGCCCCTGGGTAGAGATCAACAAAGGGGATGCAGGCACTTACCGTCAAGAAGTTCCCAGATTCCATCATCCTAGCCACCATGACCTATGTTGGCTGGGATGATGGGCCATGTGATCCAACATTTCTGACGGCCTCTCCCAAGAGGGAAGCCTCCTCTGGTACGTTCTGCCTCTTTCACACACAAAAAGGCCTATGTTGGCTGGATGATAGGCCATGTGATCCAACATTTCTGACAGCCTCACCCAAGAGGGAAGCCTCCTTTAGTACGTTCTGCCTCTTTCACACACAAAAAGCAAGGATTGACAGCTCAGAACATCTCAGAAACCTCCTCTTTGAACTCTTTACAACAACCCTGCAAGGTAGGACATGGTTATTTTCCATACAGCACAAACGGAACAGGGACCAACCTCAAGAACAAGTGGATTTCCTGAGTGTATTTAATGGCATTCAGAGAATCGGGACTGCAGTAACAACTAGATTATCAGATCACTATCTACGAAGTACGGCTTCTGGCACCCATTAGAGCCTTGAAACTCAATGGGTAACCATGGGCCACCTTCTCTCAACCTGGCCCTACCTCACAGGGTTCTTCTGAAGATATATAGGGGGAATGTATGGATATATTACACTCCTTTGAGTTCCTTGTTGGAGAAGTGGGTTATAAATGCAACCAATACATTAAAATGATAGAGGCAGAATTTGAACTCGTGACATTCCTATTCGTTGCATAGCCACCACTCTCCAATTTGTATTTCCTCCATGGACCACCCCACGCTCACCTTCTTTGCTACCCTACGTCCACCTGACTTGGACTCTACTCACTTTATCCGCACGCTCTTAGGGGAGCCGGTCCTTCGCCCTCAGCCGGGAGAAACCGAAAAACAGCCGAGACATCGCCCGCATCACCTTCGACATCTACAAGCTCAACCCACGTGACCTGTTTGGCAGCCTGAATGTGTCAGCCACGTTCTACGGGCTCTACTCCATGAGCTGTGACTTCAAGTGCCTGGGACCCAAGAAGGTGCTCAGGTGAGTCCCTGAACCTCCCAGGGCAGCCAGCAACACCTGGGCTTTCAGGAGGAAGAGGTGGACAACAGGCTGACGGGGTAGGATCTGACTCTCCACCTACAGCATGGATCACAACGTGCCTCCAGATGTTGATGAACCACTGTTCTCATCATCCTTCTGGTCAGTCTGGCAAAGACGGATAGGAAACAAAAAACAACGTACAGAGAGCCAGTCTGGGGAGGTGCATTTTGTATGATTGTTAATATTTTGGACTACAAACCCCACAATCCTCCTTTCTGAGAGTCATACCTACCCGTCCCAGATGTTACCGAAAACCTAAGTTGTGCTCACCTGGGGGAAAAAAAAGGCCTAGCCAGCAGGCCTAATGGCTTAGAGAGGTCTAACTTCCTGTTTGAATCTACCCGTCCCAGATGTTACAGAAAACCTAAGTTGTGCTCACCTGGAAAAAAAAAGGCCTAGCCAGCAGGCCTAACGGCTTAGAGAGGTCTAACTTCCTGTTTGAAAAGGAAGCTGCTGTGATAATGGTTGGGAAGCTTCCTTTTTTCAAACAGGAAATCAGGCCTGCCCCTGACAGGAAGCCTGCCATGCTGGGCCTTCTATCCAGGCGAGCGCAATTTAGACATTTCTACAGTCTGGGTCTGGCAGCCAAGACTCTAGGAATGGAGAATTGTGGAATATTAAGTCCAAAAACCTCCAAAATGCACATCAATAAGAGCCACCTAGTCCTTCCTAGCCCAGAGAGAGGTGAACCCGCCCATCCCTAGTTCTGTCTTCACTTAATACTGGTTGACTCCACCAGCCCTTCCACACACTGGCCTCAACCCCCTCCTGAAGGGCGAATCTCCATCAGCTGCAGGATTTGCCCTCTTCTGAAAAAAAGTCATGTTCCCATCAATCTTTTGGGAAACCAGGATATGGCGTTTTTGGCAGTGGGAACCATCTAGCGATGACCCCCGGTATGACTACATCTACTTTGGAGATTACCCTGAATCCTCTTAGTTAAGTTTAAATATGTAGGGAAGACCCGATGATTCCAGCGGGTTTCCTAGACTGCCTAGAAAGAATTAGGAAAAGGCTGTGTGGGTTTTCAGGATGACACAAATGCTCGAGTAAGGAGACACCTTTATTGAACCATTTTTTAAAAAAAATCACACAAACTGCAAGCTTTCATGGTACAATCCCACTTCCTCAGGCTGTTCTCCATCCATAAGCTGGATAAAGATCCAGGTGGACGTTCACTCCATGGTTCCAGGAACCGGAGGGCTCCTTGTTTCCATAGTATGACACACACAGAGCATCGATTCATCTCTGTTTCACCCTGCTCTTGTGGGTGGCAGATTTTGATCCAGCTTTTATTTCAAAAACTAGTGGGTGTACCCCGCTCTTGTTCCAATTGGTTCTCGTAAACCACCCTGGGAGTGGTTTGGGGTACAAAAGCAGCTTTCCTATTACAATGTTCAGTAATTCAGATCCTTCTTTTTCCTTTCTTCCCCCCCCCCCAACCAGGGAGATCCTGCGGGTGGCTTCCACCTTCATGCAAGCTGCGGGGCATCTTCTGGTGGGCGCCTCCAACTACATCCGTCGTCTCTTGGAGGGCGGTGACAGCTGGCACTCACAACACGCCAGAGTGAACGTTTATCGAGAATGAAGTCGCCCGGCACCGGAAATGGATGGATTAACTAAGAGGCTAAAGGGACAAGAAGAATCATCTTTCTATTTAAGCTGGAATTTATTTTGTAATTGGTTGAAAGTACAAAATCCCGCAGTAAAGGAACAGAAAATGAATAAAAAGTGAGATGTCGTGGATAGGATCTCACCAGAAGAATTACTCCAATATACAAGATCACTTCCCTGTTGAGCCTTAGGCTTTTTTCCTTTTTTGCATTTAGATTTGTTTATTGTTCGACGATTGTTCGAAAAGTCCTCCATTGTTCGAAACGTCCTCCATACAGAGCATGTTGCCATAGTCTCTCGAGACTGAAGGATGCCTAATGTTCGACGATTAGATATTCTTACACTTTATGTTTACTCTTTAAATGTGCATTGTGCTATATATCTATGTTTTTAAATCTGTTTAAAAACAAAATAAAATTAAAGAGAAATGGAGTCGCCCGGCAACAGAGCAAGGGTTCCTCCCCAAAACACCTTGGTCCTCCCAGTGCCGAACTAAGCCGAGGGCCATAATTTGACTCTGGACACTGATTAACGGGGTTTCAGAACATCCCAGGGCCTTGAACTATGGCTGGCTTTTTTCCCCTTTGGGGACAGAAGGAGGCGCTGCAGAGTTTAGCAAAGAGGAACCCACTCAAGTTTAAAAAGCTCAATGGCCCTTTATAATAAGAGTGGAGTTGGGGGCTGAGAAGGCGAGGATGATGGCTAAATCCCTCCGTCTCCCCCATTTCGGCTGCCTTGGCATCTCAGATGGGTCAAGAAAGCTGCGGTCGTCCTTATTTGGGCCGCTGTCCAGATGGCATCATTTGGAACAAAAAGAGCCAGTTTGGCGCCAAACGAGATTCTCGCCATCTCGCCAACGAGAACAGGTTTTTTTTTAAAGGGTCAGGAAATCCCTTACCCTTGAGGATGATGAAGCAAGCAAAGACTCACTTCTCAGTGGAGGTCCCGGGGATGGGAGACAGATCACAAGCTAATCTGGCAGCCTACTGCCAACTCTGGCTGGCAGCCGCTCTCCAGCAGAATTTGGACATACGTCTCTCGATGAGACTCCCAGACATCTCTAGCCACTTGAATGGGCATCCCCATGGCTAAGGGATGCTTAGAGCTGTAATCCAGAAAGGTGTGTTTCTAAGAAATAAAAAGCTACCCACATGAGGCATACCAGAGGCTTAAATGGATCCTCGATCTCCCATCCCACTGAGGCATGGGGCTCTCCCAGTTTCCTGCGATCTTGATCTTTTAAAATCAAAAAAGGGCAAGGACTGAACTCAAGATGCCCACACGCAACGGGGCAGGGAGAGAAGGAGACAGATTTTTGCTCATGAACGGCAACGGGTCCATCCACAACATTCATGTCTGCTTACTCGGGCTGGCAGCCGCCCACCGTTTGGTCTCAAGCTGGTGGATCCCTTTATTGTCGCCAGATTCTTTTATGGGAACTGACCTTGGAACAGCCGACAAAGGCCTTCCAGCTGACGGCCTGACAGCCCCAACCCACCCCCAACATCTTGAGCTAAGGCTAATCGGAGTTGTAGTCCAGGTAAATTCTGTCACCTCCTTCCAGGGAGCTTTTTTCTTTCCCACTCTTTCTCCTCACAACAACCCTTTGAGGTAGGACCGTGTCAGTCACCTGAGGTTGTGCCATGAGTTAGTCTCGGGCTCTATCCACTATATCCCCTACCCTAATAAGGGTACCAGCAAACTGGTGCAAATTCAGAGGAGAGCAACAAGGATGATCAGGGGACTGGAACCCAAGCCCTAGGAGGAAAGACGGAAAGAATTGGGCATGTTAAGCCTTGAGAAAAGGCGAGTGATGGGAGATCTGACAGCACTTTTCAAATACTTGAAAAGTGGTGTTACAGAGGAGAGCCAGGATCTGCTCTCGATCATCCCAGCGCGCAGGAGACGTACACCTCAAACCACAGGAAACCAGATTTAGGCTGAATATCAGGAAAAATGTCCTAATTGTCAGAGCAGTATGACGACGGAAGCAAAGACCTTAGGAGTTGGCGAGCGCTCCAACACTGGAGGACTTCGAGGGAAAAATTGGACACCCCTCTGTAAAATCTGCTTTGATCTGGATTCCTGCCTTGAGCAGGGGGTTGGACTGGATGACCTTCGAGGCCCGTTCCAACTCAATGATTCTAGGATTCAAAGCCACCTTGGCCTCCAAAACCTGGCTTGCCCACCCCACCCCATTGAACAAAACAACTGTTTGAAAAGAAAAACACAACACGAGTAGATAAAATGTTTTAACATCTGCAATAAAATATATCCAATTTGAAAACAGGCAGAGGAGTGCTGTGCCCGCAAGCCCCTTTGCATAGTCTCCAACTCAATGATTCTAGGATTCAAAGCCACCTTGGCCTCCAAAACCTGGCTTGCCCACCCCACCCCATTGAACAAAACAACTGTTTGAAAAGAAAAACACAACACGAGTAGATAAAATGTTTTAACATCTGCAATAAAATATATCCAATTTGAAAACAGGCAGAGGAGTGCTGTGCCCGCAAGCCCCTTTGCATAGTCTCTGGTGCTTCGGCCGGTCCAAAACAGTCTTAAGGAGTGCGAGCGCCACCAGGCGGCTTTGCAAAGCCGGTCCGTCGTTTTCCCGGCGAGGCAAGAAGGTTGCAATCATCGGTTTCCGGACCGGCCGCCCTCCTTTCTGAGTTAGCCCTCCAGGATCTCGGCAAAAAGGTCCTTCCGCTTCTTCTCGGCCTCCTGGTGCTGCTCCCAGTCCCGGCGGCGTTTGAGAAAGTGCATCAAGGCGAAGTTGCGGGCCACGTGGTGGCCGAAAGGGTCGTGCCGTAGCTGCGGTTCCTGCTCCGCTAGGAAAGGAGGAGGATTAGGATTACAAACAGTCGGAAGGGCACCCGGGGGGGGGGGGTGAAAAAAAAAGGAAAAACTCGGAGCCGACCATTCTGGGTTCAATCCACCAAGGGTTTGATCCCAGAACAGAGGCAGTTTCACAGGGGCAGAGTTAGGCATCTGAAGCTAGGAAACATCCTTGTCTGGACTACAAACCTCAGATATCTGTCCCCAAGCCAGCCAAGCAGCAAATCCAATCATACTAATCTTAATAACCTTAGAACTGCAGAGCTGGAAAGAACTTCACAGAGCATCGGGTCCAGCCTCCGTCAAGGAGACCCAGTGGGGGAATCAAACTCCCAACCTGTAGCCAGAGGCCGAAGCCACTGAACTAACCAGCAGTTCAAAACAGGGGTTGCATTGGTCGGGAATCAAACCCAGGCCTTCCACACGGCAGGTGAGAATTCTACCACTGAACCACCCAATGCTCCAGGTTACCGTTTTAGGCAAGGGGTCCTTAGAACTTTCTGTGTGTGTTTCTGTGCCATCATGCCGGAACTGATTTACAGAGACCGTCAGGTAAGTGAGCTGTTTGAGGAGAGGGTGTACTCATTCCACTCTCCATCCCCCAAGTGATGAGAGGATTCAAACCCAGGTTTCCTGAGTCCTCGTCCATCACTCTATCCACTACACTAGATTCCCTCCCCCCCCCAGCTTGAAAATGTAATACAGTAATAATAATAAGTAATGTCCCGTCAAGTCAATTCCAATTTATGATCATCCCTTCCAGTGTCTTCCGGGCAGAGAATTTACACAGAAACGGTTTACCATGACCTTCTTCTGGCAGTGCTCTGGGGACTGTACAGCCTTAGATCTGTGCCACCTGTTAAATAAATGCCACTTTGCCTTCCTACGACAGCTGAACAAATTATTCTGGCACGATGTGGATCTTATCATGGGTTTGCTTGAAAAGGGAAACTCAGCCCCACGACGCTGCTCCTTTGGGGGCTGGGAAATGAACCATGGAGGCTAGGCTTGCCAAACAAGGACATGCGACCGTTCACGGAGCACAACCCTCAATGCATGACCCATTTTTATAAATATTCGGTCCTAAAAGCACCACCTTGGGAGATTTCTCCCTGCCACGATCACGGGGAGAGGGTGAAGGGAAACAGAGCCTTACCAAGCTCCTGAGCCATCTCTCGCTTGGCAGGCAGAGTGGCCCGGCCCCACATGGCGTCCAGAACACGGCTCCCGTGTTTGTTGCAAGCCAGAGACACATAGCGGCCCTGCAGTTGGGAAGGGGGAGAAAAAGAAAGAATAGGGTCACATCAGGTTCAAGTTCACTAAGGGTACATCATTTAGTCTGCCTTGCTGGTCCATCACGGGTCTAAAATATCTAAGAGACTTGTAGGCTTGTCTTGAGGACTAGAATTACATATATATATAAAAGAATTCCACCAAAAAAAAGTCTTGCATTTAATACAGAATAGTAGTATTACAACAAATCTGGATGCATGAACACCTTGCCTCGCTCCGTCTGATCATGGAATCAACACCAGCTTGGATAATACAATTTATTTATTTTGTTACTTAAAATAGTTTCCCCACACACATACCTTTCTTCTTAAAAGGACCCAAGGACCAGAAAGAAAGAAAGAAAGGAAGGAAGGAAGGAAGGAAGGAAGGAAGGAAGGAAGGAAGGAAGGAACGGTGTTGCTACACAAAAAATAACACAAACTTCAAATTTTTCAGATTCGTTAAGACAACTTGTTTTCTCCCCTACACGTGCAAGGTTTCAAGCCCTCCAGTCCTTTTCATCGGGCTCTCCCCTCTCCCCCATTTCTTCAACTCTCGGGTCTGCTGAAGCATTCTGGAGAACCTGGAAGCTTGCAGACGGCTTCAGAATTGTAGCTGCCCCTAATAAAGGATATTTCTGGCCTCCCTGTGAATCCCGTTTTGTTCCCGTTTTATCCGGACTGCTCCAGCTTGACCCACAGGAGCAGGCAAGCCGTGGACGTCCCGCGCAGTTTTGAGCGGGATCCTTACAACGGATTCCTCCAGCACGCACCTTGAGCAGACGGAGAATTTTCCGCCTCTGTTTCTCGGGGACGGAGGGGCTGGCCAAGAGGGCATCGTAGACGTGACTGCCTGCCGGATCACAAGCCAGCGTGACCAGGTCCTCGGGGGTCATGGACGCCATGCTCTGCAGCACAACCGAGGGGTCAGCAAAATGCAGCAAGTGCTGGAGCAGGAGGGAGCCGTGGTAGGAGACAGAGCTCAAAGGACGGGACAGGTCAGCCTGTGGAAAGAGAGAGACATGCATAGAAAGAGTCCCTTCCAAGGTTGGGCAACTAAATATCCAGCTTGCTGCATAGGTGGAGGGCAACACGTAGCCTGAACAACTGACTTGTAAAAAAAAAAACCAGAGTGTGCTTTAATCCCTATGGGGAGGTATATAAGCAGCACGCTTTGCTTTGCAAATTTAAACCAACCCAGATGTTCTTCCTGCAATTCTGCTTTCACTGCCCCTCCAGGGTTGGCCCCGGCTTCTCAACTACCCCCTGGATCTGTTTCCTCGTCTTGCACAAACATTTTTTTGAGAAACAGGGAAGAAAAGCCCCCCCACTTTCATTTTAAAGGAATAGTTTAGTACTCATGCAAAACAAGATACGGTGACCTAGTAAAGGGCAAGGGAGGTAACCATATCAGCTGTTTACAAGTCAGATTTCAAACGGAGCAGATCTTTAACAGTATGCTGTTCTTACCTGCCCTGAAGTCGCATCTGATTTACAGTCACCTTCATAGATTTTCAAGATATAAAAGGTATTTCAAGGGGGGTGTCTCCCTTGCCCAAAGCCAGCGAGTTTTCATGGGCAGGGGGAGATTCGAAATATCGTACAGTATTTCCACCTCTCTATCTCTTATAGCACACTGGCTCTCCTTTAACAGCATTATTCTGTACATTTAAAGGCTGACTCTTCAATAGTCACAGGAGTTATTGGCTAAACCTCCTTCCATGCTTTTCTTCAGATTAAGAGGTCTCTTGCTTGGAGATCCTTTCGTGTCCAACCACCAACTGGCATTGCCAGCGAAAAGCAGCTCACCGGGTGGATTTGGGGTCTCCTGAGCCCTCCCCCTCCCCGTGGCCCTTTTTATGGCCTTTCCTAAAGGAGCCTCGTGGCAACGTGGTGGAACTGCAGTACTGCAGCCAAGCCTCTGCTCACAACCTGAGTCTGATCCTAGCAGAATTTGGCAGCCGGCTCAAAGCTGACTCAGCCTTCCAAAGTCAGCAAAATGAAGAACCCAGCTTGCCGGGGAAGTGGGGGGCAACAAGGTCTAGCCTGCACAATTTGTAAAACCACCCAGAGAGAGCTTTAAGCGTTATGGGGCGGCAGATAAGCAGCACATTTTGCTTTCAAACTGAAGTATTTGAAAGCCACTTTTCAACAAGGACAGCTGGGAATGTCTCGCACAAGATCGAAACAAAGCCATCCCTGGCTGCAGATTTAAAATCTAAAAGACATTATATATTTTTTAAAAAAATACAAGAAAGGAAGAAGGAAACAAGGAAACTTCAATGTCCACTCTTAATAATAACTGTAAAACAAGCCATACAAATGAACAGCTGGGAAGAATCAATTCAGTTCAGGCAGAAGAGGAGGCAAATGGCAGAGAATTCATGGAAGATGTGCTTCTTCCGCTCATGTCTGCTGCTTTCTAGCCCCGTCACACCCGCTCAACCACACTGCCTACCTTGGACTGGGATGGGTCGTCCTCTACCTCTTCCCCATAATACACCTCGTATGCCAGCACGGAAGCAATGAGAGGGACACACGCCAGCTGGCGGGATGCAGGTTCCCAGCAGTGGAAAGCCTGAGGGAGGCAGGGCCGAGAAAGGGGACAAGATCAGAGCAAGCCCAGGCAAGGCGGCCGAAGGACAAGGGGCACCAAGAGGGGAGACGCACCTCCAGGAGGATCCGCACCACTTCCTGCTGGTGAGCCCCGTGTTTCCGGCAGGCCCCCAGGAGCGCCGTGATCACTCCCAGGTGCTCGTGAGCCATGATCGCTTCAACGCCTGGACTCAGCTCCTCAAGGAGATTCGCCAACTGGAAGACAGACAGGAAGAGATGAAGGAACACCCAAAGGGTGGGGAGAGATGGGAGGGAAGCCCACTCCACTCTTCTCCAGACGGATTTCCTTTAAAATATTATTTAGGTGACTGGGGGGGGGGACGACTGCAACATAGTGCAGATCAGGACCTCGCAATATTTTCAGTCCTGTTCGCTGGGGACGATGGGCTTGGAATTTAGGAACACGGGAATATGTCTTACACTGAGGTTTGTCTGGCCTGACGTTATTCACACAATGCCTGGCAATATTTTGCTAAGATTTTGGGCTGAGATTTCTTCCTCGTCTGACCTGGAGGTGCCAAGGATCAATCCGGTGACCTTCCGCACGGCAAGCAGGGGGTCTACCCCCCTAGCCCCTCCTCTGCCTCAGAAGAGTTGCATAGGAAGCCCCCAGGAGGGGAAGGAAGAGCCAGCCAATATGGAATCCACTCTTTGATCAGTCTGACTTCCACTGAGTTGCAGGCGGGTTTTCGGCAAATTCTGCACACCGGGCTGGTGGGGAAACGGTGCAGTGGCGGCACAGAGCCTTCCCCTTCACAGCGATCCACATTCCCCCGTTCACAAAGCCAGGCAATTTCCCAAACACAAGAATTCAAACAAAAGTTCTCGGGGTGGAACAGAACAAAGATCCGTGGAGCCCCCGTGACCTTGACGTACGACCAGCACCCTTCGGATGGCCTTCCCAAAGGCTCTCTCACTCACCAGCTTCGGGGACGCGGCCCGGATGAGACGCTGCAAGGTGAAATTGGCCACTTTGTGGACTGCCAGGACCTGCAACTGCCCCTTGACGTGGGCCTTGTAGAAGGAAAGCAACGCCTTTCGGTCAGACACCTCCAGGACCTTATCCAGCACCCGGCTGCACATGGCATCTTTCAGGAACACAAGGAGTGTGCTGAGGGAGACGAATAAGCCATAAACGGAAGATGCACAAGCAGCACCACAGCCTCGCCTCCCTCCCACCCAACAAAGCCACCCACTCTCTGGGGCGCTCAAAGCCCACCATGCCAGCCCCTGGTAACAATAAAAATTAAAAGAGATGAAGGCAAAAGCACTAGGAGCTAATGAGAGAAGATGGAACCAGTTATTGTTGTTTAGTCGTTTAGTCTTGTCCGACTCTTCGTGACCCCATGGACCAGAGCACGCCAGGCCCTCCTGTCTTCCACTGCCTCCCAGAGTTGGGTCAAATTCATGTTGGTCGCTTCGATGACCCTGTCCAGCCATCTCATCCTCCGTCGTCCCCTTCTCCTCTTGCCTTCACAGTTTCCCAACATCAGGGTCTTTTCCAGGGAGTCTTCTCTTCTCATGAGATGGCCAAAGGATTGTAGTCTCATCTTAAGCATCTGTCCTTCCAGTGAGCACTCAGGGTTGATTTCCTTTAGAACGGATAGTTTTTTTTCTCCTTGAAGTCCAGGGGACTCCTCCAGCACCACAGTGACACAGGAACCAGTACTAAGAGATAAACAAAACCCAGTTTGTGAGGAGCAGATGGTCCTCTGGATGTGGTTGAACTACATCTCCCATCATCCTTCACCCCTGCCTAGACTGGGACAGGAATGATGGGGGCTGTAGTCCAACAGCATCAGGTTTTCTAGCTGTCCCTTAAGTCCCATTTGGAAGGTTTAGCCTGGAAAAAAGAACAAGTCCAGGAGAAGACTCTGGTTGCAGCCTTCAAACATTTGAACAGCAGTAACGAAGAAGGACGAGATGGTTGGACCGTGTCACCGAATATTTGAACAGCGGTAACGAAGAAGGACGAGATGGATGGACAGGGTCACCGAAGCGACCGACATGACTTTGACCAAACTCTGGGAGGCAGTGGAAGACAGGAGGGCCTGGCGTGCTCTGGTCCATCGGGTCATGAAGAGTCGGACATGACTAAACAACAGAAAACAAAGAAGGAAGAGTGGGTTTTTGTTCCAGAGGAGACAATTGGAACCAAGGGATGAATAATATAAGGAATCAGGCTTCAACTCAACATCAGGAGGAATTTCCTAAAGAAAAGAGCTGCCTGACTGTGGAAGAGATGGCCATAAGAAGGTGCAAACTCTCTTTCATTGATGTATACAGGTGGAACTGGGCAGGCATCCCTCAGAGACGCTGGGCGTGAACTGTGGGAGAGCTCAGTGGCTTAGCTCTCTGGAGCCAGAGGTTTGGAGTTCAATTCCCCACTGGGCCTTCTAGACAGGAGCTGGACTTGATGATCTGTAAGGTCTTTTCCAGGCCTGGAGTTCTAAGATGATGATGATTATTAAGATGTTGCACTGAGGACAGAGTAGGACTAGATTCCTTCAGAAGTCCCCTCTGATCTACCATGTTTCGCCAAAAATAAGACAGGGTCTTATATTAATCGCATTAGGGCTTATTTTCAGGGGATGTTTTATTTTTTTCATGTACTACCACCTACATCTATTCAAATACAGTCCTACAAGGTTGGAGGCCGGGATTTCACTTAACTAGGGCTTTTTTGGGGGTAGGGCTTAAATGACGAGCATCCTGAAAAATCCTGCTAGGGCCTATTTTCAGGTTGGGTCTTATTTTCGGGGAAACAGGGTAATAGACTGATATTTGCAGAAAAGCCAATCACAACTCCATGACTCCTTCAGCCAGGCAAAAATCTCTCCCCCGCCTTCATTTCTTCACTATCTTGAGGAAATAATAGGGAGGAACAGAGAAAGAAAACAGACCCTGTACTTTTCCTGTTATTAAATCTGCAAGAATCCACTACATCTGGATAGCTTTAGGACCCTATAGACCGCCAGCGGCAGCGGCAGCTCCAAGTCTCCACCCACCACCACCCACAGCCAACCCAAGACTTTACCTTTGCCCAGCAGCCGGGTTGCAGGAGCTCAAGTAGCCAATCACGGAGCGGGACAGATCGGAACAGTCCTGGGGCAGCTTCCGGTGCAAAACCTCCAGCGCCACCTGGAGGCAGAGGCTGAAAAACTTGTTGGTAATAAAATCTGGATAAAGAATAATAAAGAAGCTGGTTTAGCAGGAGACAAAAAAGCATGATCTTCTGTCCCTGTGTATAATCTACGGCTTTGGGCTATGCCTCTCTTTCCACCGGCAATACCTACCAGTTTCCACCACCCGTTCCCGATTTCTCAGAATTTCCTGCGGTAGTGTCTACTGAGGAACAGCCTTCACCCACCCAGAGCCCCTCTTCAATGCAATGCAACTAAAGTTCTTCCAAGAACCAAGATGAGAAACCTGATGGAGTTAGATGGGACCAATGTGGACTTCCCATCCAATTTGCCAACTACCTCTGCTCTTATCTCCGATCGGCGATTGGAGATAAAAAGGCATTCAAAGGCCAGGCAGCTCTTTTACGGAACTGAGATGCAATTCACATGCTAGGTGTGCAAATGTACAAAAGGGTAAAAATCCTGTCCACCAGAACTCACTTTGTAACTGCCCGATCCACTGGGAAATTAAGACCCCCACCCAGACTAAAATCTCCCCCACCAAAAGAAACTGAAAAGCGATTCATATCGTTGCCACAGAGCAAAGAGACAGCATAGTTTGTTTTTTAATAGAACCGTGATCTCCTTCCAATTAAAAATTTTAGGCGATTCATATCGTTGCCACAGAGCAAAGAGACAGCATAGTTTGTTTTTTAATAGAACCGTGATCTCCTTCCAATTAAAAATTTTAGGCTTCGAGCTATCAATGGAGTATGAAAAGACGAGAGAGATCCGTGGTGGCAGAACAGATCCTACCACTTCACAGCTGCCGATGGAGGAGACTCACATTTTAAAAGTATGTTCTGATGGGGCGGGGGAAACCAGGACATGTTATAAAGCATCGAAATCCTTGTTCCATAAAGTGCCCACATCCAAGGAAGCTGAATTAGCAGCCGAGGTTCTCGGTTAGGGCTTACTTACGTATTCAACTTGCAGATGTTTGCACTGTTTTCCTCATCCCCAGCACTTAAGAACTAAAGGCATGGGTTGTGTGCTTCCCACATGGTCAGCAGGTTGTAGCCATCTCACCTGAAATGTGCTCCTGAAAGCACTCGCTGAATTCATGCAGGAGGGAGAGGAAGGTGTCGGGAACCTCAAACTCTGTGGGTCCATCACTCTCTGGCTTCGCGTGTCTGGCTCTAGAGGGCGAAATCCCTGGAAGGGGGGGTGGGAGATACAAAGGCGGGAAAGCGGCACTGAAAATACGATTCTTTATTTGCCACAGTGGGCGCACGCTGTCACCAGAAAGAGACATTAGAAGGGAAAGATGGGAAGAGCTTTAGTTCACAGAAGAACATTTAAACTGCCTCACTGGGAGACTGATTATACACTGGTTGTGGGCTCGTGCTTAAATGGCAGGTACCTTCCCACTAAGGCATTAAGGCTTTTTTCCTTCTAAAGATTTCTCAACGACTATTTATACTGCAAGGGTCCAAGCTGGCTATTTTTCACCCAAAAAAGGTACAAGGGAAGGAGAATGCAGAAACAGACATAAAGCAAGCTTTTCATCGCTCCTGCCATCAAATGTGGGGGGGTGCGGTGGTGGAAATCCCACAAGACACTGTGACAAACCCAGACCTACTACTCCTGCCATCAAATGCGGGGGGGGGAATCCCACAAGACACCACGGAGCGTCACTGAGAAACAAGCAAGAGACGGTATTCTGCAGAAGTGCAAACATGTCTTTGGATCGTTGTAGAAATGCAGGCACAGTTTTAAAGGAACACAAAAATACAGGCACCACAGCATCAAACCACAGAGCTGGATGGGACCCTGTGGGATCATCCATTCTAACCCCTGTCAAGGAGACACACAGTGGGGGAACCTAGCCCGTCAAGGAGACACACAGTGGGGGAATCGAGCTCCCAACCACTGGCTCCACAGCCAGACGCCTAAACCACTGAGCCATCCTGCAGTTCAGATAGAATGTTGACTATCAGTTGAGAAAGAAACTTAACAATGGTGCAGCCACCACCTTGTCAGCTTTAATAAAAATCGGTGGAACAGTTCAGACAGAATGTTGACTATCAGTTGAGAAAAACGTAACAATGGTGCAGCCACCATCTTGTCAGCTTTAATAAAAATCGGTGGAATTGACCACTCTTACCCTTAAGAAGGTCCAATTCTCAATTTTAAGGCAATTTCAGCTCTCCAACACGGACCCTTTCCCCATCCCTCCAAAAAACTGCTTTGAAAACGAGGGATGGAAAAGGACAGGTATTCCCCCAGATCATCTGTAGCTCAGAATCAGAGGTCACTTTTTTGTTTTGCTGATTCTGGTTCTAGAACATCCCTTCTCCTGCTTCAGAGTAAGTTTGAGTTTCCCCCAACATCTCCCAAAGAATGATGCTCCCGGTGGTCCCTACTTACCTAAACCCGGGAGCCCCCGGCCCCCATCCGACCCGACTCGGACGCCTCCAAGCACCTGCAGGAGAGTCCGCACCACGAAGCTGGCATGGACATCCGACACGAAGGCTGAGAACTCTCTCTCTACTGCCCTTCCCAGTTCCAGAACCAGGTGCCCCAGAATCTCAGAGTCCTCTGCTCCATCTTTGATCAGCAAGGGGGCCCTCAGCAGGATAGCCTCCAAGATGTGGGCCCCGCACGGGTGGCAAGCCGCCAAGCGCAGGGACGGGATCAGGCCTCGGAGCAGGCAGCACAAGCTGGACGAGGAGGCGGAAGGAATGAGGGCCTGGAGGAGAAGAGATCCCGCTTTATCCAAAGCTAACGGCAGAGCCACCCCTTTGGCTTCCTCCAAGACATTGCTGATGAACAGATCTAGATGGGAGAAAAAGAAAATTATGTTATATACACAGAACAGGGGCTCACACCATCCCACAGCTTTGCTGCTCCACACAACACCAACACTATGTCCTATACTGCAGTTGGGGGAAGGCTGGATTTTCTGGAAATCTGGGCAAGCCTTTTTTCTTTTTTAATGGTGCTTAATTGATACACACTGGCTAGCTCAGTGATTGAGAGTTGAATTCCCCTCCTGAGTAGAGCCAGCCTGGATGGTCTTGGGCAAGCTGCACAGTCCCAGGGCACCCCCATAAGAAGGGAATGGTAAAACCACTTCTGAAAAGGATCACCATATGTCAGAACTGACTTGACAGCAAATGATTATTGTTATTATTAACTGATACATGCAAAAGCAAGGGGAATACAACAAGAAACCATAACTCTACACTTTGCACATTTAAAAAATGCCAGGTTTAAATCCAGACACACACACACAAACACCATTCAAAAGGAACAGGTATTATGATCTTGTATAGCTAGTTAGATATGTGCTATCAAGTCAGAATCAACTTATAGTGACCCTAATAGGTAAAGGGAAAGCTTCCCTTTGACATTTAGTCAAGTCATGTCTGACTCTAGGGCGCAGTGCTCATCCCTATTTCCAACCTATAGAGCCAGTGTTTGTCTGTAGACAGTTTCTGTGGTCACGTGGCCAGTGCAACTAGACATGGAACACCATGACCTTCCCACCAAAGTGGTACCTATTTATTGACTTGCATGTACATGCTTTCGAACCAAGCTGGCTAGCTCAGTGGTCGAGAGTTGAATTCCCCTCCTGTGCCTCCTGTGAGTAGAGTCAGCCTGGACAGTCTTGGGCAAGCTGCACAGTCCCAGGGCACCCCCATAAGAAGGGAATAGTAAAACCACTTCTGAAAAGGATCACCATATGTCAGAATTGACTTGAAAGCACGTGATTATTGTTATTATTGATTGATACATGCAAAAGGAAGGAGAATACAACAAGAAGCCATAACTTACACTTTGCACATTTAAAAATGCCAAGTTTAAATCCACACACACACATCCCATTTGAAAAGGAACAGGTACTATGATCTTGTATAGCTAGTTAGTTACAGTATGTGCTATCAAGTCAGAATCAACTTATAGTGACCCTAATAGGGCTTTCAAAATAAGTGAAATATTTAAGGGGTGGCTTTACCAGTTCCATTCCCCCCCAGTAAGCTTCTATGGCTGGGCAGGGATTTGAACCCTAATTTCCAGAGTCCTGCACTGTCACTATGTCCATGACACCACACTGGGCAACTCTGATGTGGGATACTTCCTTATAAACTAAAGGAGAAAGAAAACGGGCGCTCCTCATCAGGCAGTGTATGCTGCAGTGGTTCAAATGCTGGACTGAGACATGCTTTCTAGAGCCATGAAACTCACTGGAGGGAGCCTGGGCCAGTTACATCCTTTTACGCCGACCCACCTCACAGGGTTGTTTTGCAGATAAAAGGGGGAGAGGACGAGCGCTGGGAAAAAAGTGGATCGCAAATGGAACTCCTTACTAAATAAAATAGCAACTTATTGCCAGGAACCGTCCTTTGCCAAAACTTTAGCTGAACCAGGACAAAATTAACCGCTGCCTTAATCATCCAACTCTCTTGCTGTTCACCAACCCAATGTCCATCTTATCCTCCATCTTCGCAAAGTATGGGCACTTGGGATTCTGGACGCTGGAGTCCAAAAACATAATTTTCCCCATCTCTGCAACTTACTTTCATGCCAGCCCAAACCAAAACTTCCAGAGCGGGAGCAAAGCCATCCAACCTGTTCCTTCTTTTCTACGTCAGTCCCCAACATGCACGTAATAACTCAATACCTTCTGTGTCCTGCCTTCCTGCTTTCTCCAAAGAAACTCACCCTTCTCCTCGTCAGAGTCAAAGCCGGATTTCAGAGTCTCGTGAGCCTGCCGAAAATAGTCTGCGGACGGAGGCTCCAACTTGGGGAACGAGACCCCTTTGCTCTCTTTGCTGGCACCGCCCTGGGCTGAGCGCGAAGGCGAGGTCTGTTTCTTCTGGCCTTTACGGGTTTTAGCTCTTTTCCGTGGATGGGAGGGAACCCCCATCGCTCACGGAGTCTCCTTCGGTGCTCAGCTTAGCCTGTAGATGGAAAAAACAATAAATGATTAGAGGAAACGGGGAAAGAGCAAACGCCCCAGAGAATATGAGAAATCAGGGAGGCTTTTAAAAAGGGGATGTGTGTGTAGCGCAGGGGTTGCTGCGTGAGGCCAAAATTGACCTAGAGAGCCGGGTTCAAATTCCTGTTCAGCCTCACCGAGTGACTCGAACCTAACACAGCCTACCTACCAAGGCTGTGGCAAATTTATTTATTTATTTCACTTGTAACATTTATATCCCAACCATCTAGTGCCTAAACGTGACTCTGGGAGGCTAACCACTGTGGTTACACTCCCCCTAAGGGACAGGGTCTGCAGCCTGGGGGGTGCTCCTGGACCCCAGTCTAACTCTGGAAGCCCAGGTGGACTCGGTGGCCAGGGGAGCCTTCCT